ATTTGGTTGTCCACTTCTTGATTAATTCAACTAAACTTTTTTTTCTGTATAAAGCTCTAATGAAATATAATCAACAAATTTGGCGAAATAAGCCTATAAAAGCAAATGCTACGTGTATTTTGCGAATGTACAAATTACGATAATTTATTCATAGGATCAAAGTACAGGATATACTCTGTCAAACGTTTCGTTCGTGTTTATAATTCTCTGACAATAACGCGAGAAGAATAATTTGAAATTACATTTTATAAATTAGTAGTTTTAAGCGCCAAGACTACATATAGCAACGGTGACACAAGATAGAAAGCTTACATAAACGATGGCGATGTGTCATGCCTCGAGTTGAAGCTTTAGAAAACAAGGATAAAGCGTCCGCGCCTTCGGGGCACGTCATTGCAAATCCGAGTTATTTTTACTGAGGCTTTTCTTACACATTTCTTGCCGTTTTAAATCACGTTATTTAACACGATTGGATGTGTTAATTTATAATTTAACATAATTAAACGTGTTAAATCACGTAATCTAAAATGGTAAGAAACATATAAAAAGAGCTTCAGTTAAATATGTCATATTTAAACGTTCCTACGTATAAAAGTAACATACTTGGATTTGCGGTAATGGCAAGAGTGCATGGACAATGTTACTCACCCACAGGTCTCTCCGCACGTAGTGGAGAGAATTATAATTTGTACATTCGCAAAATGTACCTAACGTTAGCTCTTACAGACTTATTTCGCCAAATTTGGAGAAAATGTTAAAACTGAAAAATTACATTACAAGACAACTTTTATTACGTGATATTTTCAAATGAGACCTCCGTTAATTTTACTTCTCTGGCACATCTGGCGCACGTCAAATACAGAGAGAATTATCACAATATTCCTCCTGAAAATTTTAGTTTCCACTAAAATTCACCAAATCCATAAATACCCGATATCCGTGAAAAGCCAAATATCAAATTCACAAAATTAAAGAAAATCCCTACAGTTTCAGAAAAATTTCACGATCGATCGGACGGGAAAAAACCGAGTGCAGCCGGATTGGTTCCCCGCGACGTCTGTCATTATTGTCTTGCCGACCGCGGAATTGACTCGGAATGTTCGCGCGCGCGCCGAGTATTTCCGCCGAAGGTGCACCCCACGGGGACTTCCGGCCAGCCGGTGGCTCGGTCGGTCTGCCGTCCGACCACCTCCTGGAAATCGATCACAGGCCGAACGTGCGGTCACGATGACGCACTGGAAACTGCTTCCGTGTTCGTCGCGAGGTCGGGCGAGAAACACGGGATATCGGGGGTCCAGGGTAAACAGAGAGCCGACTTTCAATAAACACGCGCGCCCGATCTCGGGCCACCGAGAGCGATTTTTCCTCGCCGTCCAAGATTCGAGCGTGGTGATTAAGCGTTGCCGATTCTTGCTCGCTCGGCAACACGTCCAAGATTTATCGCAACGAATTTATCGTCGGCATTATTGTGCGATAGGTGGCAATTAATTCATTTGGAAGGTCGTTTCCTGGCCGATATCTCCCGGTCGAGGCCTCTCTCGATCGAACACAGCGATTCACGTTCGCTACCTTGAAGCGCGACTGGAAAGCGAACTTTCTATCCGATACAGAAAATATGCGCTACACACCGAATTATCACGCCCCTCTGCCCCTTCGGTTACGGGCTCTTGATTAATTGCGGATTATTTTCTGCCGCTCTTCCATCGTTTCGCGCGCATTATTATGAAGAAGCGGGAACGCGCGCCAGGGATAATGCCTTTCTGCTTTCTTTCGAGCGCGAGCGTTCCTATCGCCGTAACGAAGGCTTAATGGAAAACCTAATTACGTGGATACACGTTCGTGCGGTCCTACGTCTGCGTGTGATGTATATAGATGTTATTGTTGCGGAAAACGCAAGGCACGCTTCTGTAAATTTCCTTGGCTCTCGATTACTTAGAAAGAAAGTTCGGGAAAACCGCTGTATATTTATGGGCGAGGATTTCTCCCTTTCTGTTAGCGTTAGGGTCCCGAGGATTCAGGCTCCCGATTCCATTAGATAAGTGAAGCGGCGGATAATGTGTTGTTTCTGTCTCCTCGTATCTCCTGCAAGGTTCTGATTCGCGATGATCTTTTTAGCTTCGAACCGTTGACGATATTTCCGACAATGCGCAAATGTGTCCCTAGCGACGTTCGGTGCATCCTGCACGATCGGCTCGGGGACAGTATTTTTAGGCGGGATCCCGCTCGAGGTCACGTATCGGTCATCGATCGTCGAGAATTACAGCTCATTGAAGTCGCGCGAGCGGGCGAACGAACGAGTACCTCGGCCGAGTAGCCAAATGCGAGCCGGCTGAATCCTGGACAATCTCCAACGCGCCGTTTCTGTTCGGTGCTCTATACACACACGAAAAAGGGGTGACGTTGCCCGAAATATTAAAGTAGGTCAGAAGGCATGGATTATCGTTCGAATTGTGCGCCGTTCGTCGGCGTTCCTTTTTTTTTCACAATTCTCATTTAATGTTTGTATATACGCCAATAAAACAGGGAAGCTACAAAACGAAGAGAAACGATGATTGAGAAACGAGTATTGTTGACAATGATTAGATGCGATGTCGATCGGTAATCTTGTTATCGGAAAGAAAGAGCAAAATAAAGTAGAGTAGAATAGAATATATTAAACTCTGGAGTGAACCTCTTAAGCTTTCAATACATGTGTACAACTTGTGCTAGAGTCGAACCGTACATGAGGAAAGTATTGTAGTACACCGTTTGTTATATTTTGCTTGGGCGACTGAAAAGCGAATTTTCTACCCGATACAGAAAATACGATACAAAAATAAGCTTTGCTTTTATATTTTGCTTATAAGACTATTATGTACTATCTTACAATTTTGTATACGGAGAAAATATTGTAATCAAAATTACTAAAAAAATTTGTAATACTGGACCATACCGGAATTATAACTGAAATGATGATATAAGTTGTATTCTTTAGTGATGTATTTCACTGTACACATTCCTAAAAATTACAACACATATAATGATTTCAGTCATAATTGCAGTATGGTTCAGTATTACAAAATTTTGTGGTAATTTTTATTACACTATTTTTCCGTCTACAAAATTGTAAGATAGTACACAATAGTCGTATAGCTAGCAAAATATAAGATCGGTTAAATAGTATGTCGATTGAGACTAGCGCTGAAGAAGAAAAGCAAGTGCATCAAAAATGCAGTATAATACTATAGACTGTTAACTATAAGGTATAATTATTCGCATCCTAACTAAAAAACAATGTGAGTAAATTAAACTAATCATTACTAAAAAATTAGTTTGATTATTAATTAATAATTAGAAACCGTCTTTCCTTATCTAAAAAATATAATTTTAACGCACGCCTAAAATCGGGCAATGATGTAATATTAACAAGTGCATCGGATAAGAAGTTGTAGAGAGATATGCTGCCAGTGAAAGAACGTTTGTAGATTTCGGTGCGACAGCCTGGAACAACAATTCTATCGCTAGAAACACGCGTGGTTCTGACTGAGGGTGGCGGGGAAGTAATAAGCTCATGCAAGTAGGACAGGTACTGGAAAGACAGGATGGCAAACAATAAAAGAGAGAGAGAGAGAGACAGGCAGGCAAACAGGGAGACAGAGATAGATGCTTTTACTGTCACTCTGGGACATAGCTCTCTAAAAGCGTTACAGTGGAAACTTTTCTTAGTACAAGTATATGTGGGTATATAAAAGAGAAGCACTAATTAATATAAAAGAAAAATAGATAATATTAATAAAATAAAATAATACGTTTTAGTAATTAAATAATATCACGATCTCGTATATCGGCGTTTAAGCGTTGCGCATCGAAGTGAATTGATTTACGGCGTGCTTCATTTCTCAATGTTCGATCACGTGTCGTTGCGATCGGAACGATCGGCGAACGCGAGATAAAATTACCGGGTCGCTCGGTTTCGACGGCACGTTCGCTGCCAGGTGTGCGTCATAAACGATACACGCGCCTTATTTTACGCGAGCCACGTGCATCATTTACGACGAGCTGGAAACAGATATACGTACGTACGAATGCGCGCCGGTGTATCCGCTGCATCCCGTTTCGCGCGCGCGGAACGACGCTACTGCTGTTCGCGCGCACAAATTATTAACGAGCCCGTGCTTTATATGACTTTATCGATTCTCACGAGTGAATACGTTTCGATGTACACATAGTTATGGCGCGCGTCACGTCGCGCCGTGATGTACCGATGGATAGTAAATGTTCCGCGGTCTGTCTCGCGGTAAGTATATTTTCCGTCCTTTCCATCCTTTTCGAAAAACAAGATTGGAAAGTTCTCGAAAAGATAACGTTGAGAAATCTGATTGACGCGGTAATTGGCCGGCGAACAATGCAATGCTCCATATTCGACTTTCTATATAATGATCCCGTTTTGTACGGTCAATTATTTCCGAAAATGTTATCTCGCCGAAGAGCGTGATAGATAGAGCATCTATTGCGCACGCAGACTTTCATCACTTCTACGTTTATTATATTCTCGGCGAATATCGGTGAATATCTCCCGATTGGCCTGTGGTATAATTATTGCAATAATAGCGCCATTCGCTCATGTTCGCTCGCTCACCTGCGTGTAGAGAGAAAGATAGATAGATAGAATAGATTATCTCGTAGGATACAAATACCCCCTTATATAGGTGTATATAAATGAAAAAAAGTTAGTCTTAAAACAATGATGGATGTTCTCATATATATAAGCAAAAAGATTTTTAGTCTTGATTTAGTTGAATTCGTATTGATGCAAGTATCACTTACGCTCAATTAAGACTACAAATCTCCTAAGAAGATTATAATATTCTTGCTTACATATAAGAATATCTATCCTTGATTTAATATTTTCCTACGTAGTAATGGTATAAAGAGTAATAATAATATAATCTAGAGTAAGATAAAATACGAGAGAAAGAGAGACACACCCCATGAACGTGGCCGGGTTCGCTTGATTGCAGGTGATCGACTTCGGCTCCAGCTGCTACGAGAACCAGCGGGTGTACACGTACATCCAGAGCCGATTCTACCGTGCGCCGGAGGTGATCCTGGGTGCGAGGTACGGCATGCCGATCGACATGTGGAGCCTCGGCTGCATCCTCGCGGAGCTGTTCACCGGTTTCCCGCTGCTGCCGGGCGAGGACGAGGCGGACCAGCTGGCGTGCATCATCGAGATGCTCGGCATGCCGCCGCAGAAGTTGCTACAGACCTCGAAGCGGGTGCGGCAGTTCATCAGCTCGAAGGGCTACCCGAAGTACTGCACCGCAACGGCGATGCCGGACGGTACGACAGTGCTGAGCGGGGGTCTCTCGAGACGCGGCAAACTGCGGGGTCCACCCGGCTCGCACGATCTTGAGCGCGCCCTCAAGGGCTGCGACGACGTGCTGTTCTTGGACTTTCTCAAACGTTGCCTGGTGTGGGACCCGGAGAACCGGATGACGCCGAACAAGGCGCTGAGGCATCCCTGGCTGCGTCGCCGGCTACCGAGGCCGCCGGGCGACAAGAACGACACGTTGCCGGCGGTGACGACGGCGCAACCGGCGACCACCGGCTCCACCCTGAGAACCTCCGCGTCCGGTAGCAGGAGCTCCAGCAAGACCAACAGCTTACAGAGCGGCGGCAACAACGCCGGCGGCGGAGGAGGAGGTGGCGGCGGTGGTGGCGGTAAGTCGATCCAGGAGATGTCCGCGATTTCGGGCTACGCTTCGGGCTTCGTGGCTCCGCCGCAGTTGCACGGGTCCAACTGGTCGAATCTGAGCGGTCATCAGTCGCTGAACTCGGTCAGCGGCGGCAGAAGCTCCAGCAAGACCAACAGTCTGCAGGGCGGCAACGCGAACGACGACGGTCCCGCGAGCAAGACGAGGGAGCAGAGGGACCGCCTACTCGCGGAGGCGTACGTGGGCTACAGCTCGACGTACGTGAACCCGTCCAACTGGACGAACCTGAGCGGCCACCACTCGTTCAACTCCGTCGCCGGCGGCAGGAGCTCCAGCAAGACCAACAGTCTGCAGAGCATCAGCACCGCGGGCGACATCATCTCCGCGAGCAAGACCGCTCAGCAGAGGGACCCGTTCTTGGGCTACGCCTGCGTGTCCGAGTCTCACCTGCACGGGAATCACCGGTCGAATCAGTCGAGCAGTCACCAGTCGCTAAATTCCGTCGACGGCGCGACGTCCGGCAAGACACGCGCCAGCCGGCAGGTGCACCAGGCTCAGCAGCAGCAACAGCAGCAGCAGCACAACAATAATGGATCGCACGGCTCGTCGCACGACAATTACAGCTCCCACGGCTCCTCCGGCAGTTCCAGCCGGCTGGTGTTGGCGCTGCACCCGGCGGTGCAGGAGATCCTCGAGGAGCTCAGACGATAGGCCGAGACGTGCGGTGCCACCTTTTCTCGCCCACTACCGTCCCTGGCGCAGCTGCTGAGCGACCGACGAAGGCTCGCGCGATGCCGCCGTAGACAGAGGGAGGTGGATGAAGCGGAAGAGACGCAGGGATAAGGATGGTCCCGGTCACCCGACGTGAAACTCGGCTGTGGCGCTGCCTCCTGCCGTTCGGCCGATGACCCAGGGTTCACTCAAGGTCGACCGTCTCATCATCGATCTCTCGGATACCGCTGTGATTCACGCGTGCGTGTGCGCGAGACGCGAGCTGGTTCTAACCCGGCGAGTAGGAAGATATAAGAAAGAAAGATCGGTGAAAAAATCTTCCCCTGAACGACGTTATTGATCGACGTCACCGTTGCCCTGAGTAGCCCGCGTCGTTGACGCGGCCGTAAAGCGTGGAATTTCTCGGCGGGGAGGCGACGGTGACCTCGAAACGTAAGGAATCATCGCCGGCGTCATAACTGTCTCGCGCCTCCCGACGTACGACCTACGACACGGTACGAGACCGGTAGTCGAACCGTACACACCTTGCAGCTTGTCGTCGGCGACGACGACTTGCTTCGCGTTGCTCTCTGGCCCGCTCATACTCGGCTCATTTATTCCTGCTGCCATTGCTTCCGCTGGTGAAAAGAAACTCGCGGAGGTTGCCGCCCGCCTCTAGCTGCGGCTTCCGCTACGACAATATTTCGAGGGCCGCGATAAGTCACTGCGAGAATGCGGAACGGATCGAAGACACCGGGTGGTTTTCAACCCGCTCTCGACGGCCGAGCGAAGTGTCGTTGGGGTTCTTTGCGACGTGCCCGCCGACCTGAGGTTTCCTCCCGAGGTCTCCTCCCGCACTCTCATCCACGCTCGTTCACGCTCGCACCCGGTGTATCTCTCACGTGCTCGTCCGATAAAACGACGGAAAAGCGAATTTTCGGAGTAACAACACGCTGCCCCGAGCCGTCATCGAGTCTAACGAATCCTCTAATTGACACGGGACAAATGTTATGTATAACAGTTATCACGTTAAATCGCAGGACGTAACCGTCGCTGATGCGCGAACAATCGGCTACTTCGTACTCGTCATCGCGTCACGTCGTTGTATCTTTCCATCGAGTCGACGAAAACGACAACGGTAAAAAAAATCAGGCCGATCGCAAATATAAATCAGCTGACGGCCAGTTCGGGTACGGCACGACCAGCGGAACCGACTGACATTTCCATAAATTCCGATTCCGAGAATTAAGTATGATCAATGCTACTTCGTCGTCGATCATTCCTCATGGCCGCGGTGCACGACAGTAGTCTCGGGCAACTTGGAGGTTATTGTGCCAAGGGGAAAGCCGAGGAGCCCCTCCCCCCCGGGCTGGTAGAGTCGTCGACGGTTCGATAGGACGTACGTGATACAATCCACTGGGTGTAGCGACGTCGCGACGCGCTCACGGCGACGCAGGTATAAGCCATTTGCGAGAGGACGGGAAATCCAATAACGGAGGAGCCCCGCATGCTCCACGCTGAGTAACGCAATTCGGCCCGTAAGGTCGCCGGGCGATCTCATCTTTTCGCTGATCAAAGGTGCGTCGCTCCCGTCATCGTCGCGTGTTCGTTGAAAGATAACCGATGATCGGCGATCGGCCGGACGAAGACGCGCGAACGACGAGTGAAGCGTGAACGGATTCAATTGGGAAAATTCAATGAGCTCTATGGTATACCGAAGTGAGTCATCAAGGAGTGAAGGTGTAGTAAATGATATTCGTTGAAAAGGATGCATGTATGCTGGATATATCCTTATCTTTTGTCATAGCGCGAGGTGAAAAATTTGGTGTTAAACTTAACGCATTTCGCACCCAAGTGGCCTATACAAATTTTTGTATTGATTTAACATAAGGTAAATATGTTGGAAAGTAATATACAAATATTATGTCGAGAATTAACATAAACTTAATAATAATATCCGTAACATGTTAACCGATACTGAGGTGCATAGGGAAAACTGTATTCCGATACTGTAGTAAAAATTACCACATAATTTTGTAATCTTTTAACCATACCGGAATTATGACTGAAATTCTAATGATAAATTCTAATTCTTGTTGTTAATCTTTAGTGATGTGCACAATGAAATATATTACTAAAGATTACAACATATATCATAATTTCAGTTATAATTCCGGTATGGTCAAAAATTACAAAATTTCGTGGTCATTTTACTACAATATTTTCTTCGTATATATTATTTTAACACTTACACATGTTGAATATTGATCCAATATAAAATACTGAGATAACATAAACACAATATATTAAATTAACATGCGAGTATGTTAAAAGGTTAACACAACAATTTTAACAATGACCGATTTTAACACAAAATGTTTTTTATTATATAGAATGTACAAAGAAGACAGGTGTTCCTCCAATCTATTTACCTGTCCTTTTCTTCGGTGGGTCGCAGATTTCAAAACTCATGTACGATTTTAGATTTGGAGCAATGTCGGCCCAGTGTCGGCAACCAGTTTCCGACTTTCGGTCCAGTATTGGCACAATATCAAAATAATTAGATCCAACGTTACGTGCCAGTGTCGATACAACACTGATCACCGACATCAGTTAGTTTGCCGTGATATCGCCAACATCAATCCGAGAATCGGGCAAGAATAGGCAAATCTGGATATAGTTTAGTATAGGGAAGGCTCACTTTAATATACTATAGAGCCCAATGAGCGGATTTATGCCGCCGGAGAGTCGCGAGCGGAACACGTGTAAACAAGGGAACGTCTTTGTACGGAGATTGACGACCAGTCCGTTTGTACATAAATTTTTCTACCGAGAGTTAATCCCTTCTTAGTTGTGTTTTATAAACACGTTTCTACGACGACCACGCGTCTTTGAGTTCTCGCTCGGTCGGACGGGACGGTTCGAAAAATCTGCGACGCGGCTTTCCCATCGAGAAAGCTCTTCTCCGTGTTTCGGAAACTTATCGGCTCTTCTGTGTTAAATCGCTCGTTGCACGAAACCGCGGCTACAAACGACGTGGGAACGACTGATCGCGTACCTCATTGATGAATGATCAGTGCTCGTTACGGTTTCGCGGTCAATTTCGAAGTTCAAGAGCAATTCCGGGGTCCCCGTCGTGCCGTGGCAGCCTCCGTTTGCGAGCCGGGGAAACACGTCGCATTTGCCGCGGCTGTTGCACTCCGTTTAGGGCGAGAACGGCGTTCGTTCGCGACAAAGAATCGGTTGCTCGGTTTGTTAACTTCTCGCTTTCGATTCGAGCGTAGAACGGAAAAAATAAGTTTCTTTCGCGCTACGAGGAAATTCGAACGTAGCATTGTCTTTTGGCCGCCGCGACTTCGTCCGCCGGAAACATCCGGAACCGCGTTTCATCACGTTGGCGCAATCTTCTTCGAGACATCGGGAACCAGAGCGATGTTCCCTTCCTTTCCGGGCGACTTTTTATGGCGTAGCTTTCGCGACGACACAGAAGAATTTCCATTGAGTGTAACATCGAATGACGCGCGCGCGTGCTCACGCGTTATTTTCCCGACTATTTCCTCATGTGCGAGACGCTGACGCGTGACTGATCTCCTAACTGACCATTGTCACTGACTGATTTTCCTCCCGAGTTATTCCGAGAGCGTTACTTCGCGAAAGACAGAGAGAAAGAGGAGAAAGGACAGACTGTTTGCTCGCCAAACAATTCATACGAGGCGAGGCGGCTCGCGAAACAACACGCGCAGACCGCGAACAATGCAGCCGCGCGCGCCTCGTGGCGATCCCGGTGACGCGGAATCGCTAAATTTAGTCGAACGCGAAACACAACTAATCTGACGTGCGCGTGTCGGATCGTAAGTAGCGAGTATAGCGAGCGTGGATGAGTGACGGAACGATAAGGGCGAGAGCGCACAATTGGCCGACGCGGAAGAGAACGATAAGAATACAATGGTCGTAGAAGGCGGCGAAAAGGGCGCCGATACCGGCAATGACAGCAGCGAACGACACAATCAAGCTCGACAAAAGAATAATGAAAAGAAAGAAAAAAGAAACACGAGCGATCGAATCGGCGGTTAAATCGTGATACCGAACGGCATGTCTTTGTGATATGGAACTTAGGCGTATATTGGGATTTATACTAACGAGAATGTAGATAAATATATATATATATATATATGTATATATATATATATATATATTATGTATGCATATATGTGTGTGTAAAATAAGTGTTAAGTCGAGTTGTACCGGCGAATAGGAATTTGTAAAGCGCGATGTAGCCATTAATCTCGTCGTAGGTAAGAGCGATCGCGAGGGCATCGATGTCCCGTGCTCTTTACACTCGCCGACGAGCGAGGAACGAGTGCCGTTGCCTCCATCGGTGGAACCTTCTCTGAGACTAGTGATACTAGACTCTTGAGAAATATCCTCGTGAATAATAGACAAATCGAGACGCAATCGGGCCGTTTACGTGTCACGTGCGCGACCGACGCGCTCGTTCTTCGCGCTCGACAGCAACGAGTAGGAGAATCGGGTATCGATACCGCTTCAGGTGTGACCCGGTCGCAAGATACGGTGAGGGAATACGGGACGACCCCATAGATTCCTATATATTACTAGACTGTTAACTCTTTTGTATACTGTGTCGAAAAATGGACCTCAAAAAGTATGCATTGCATGTATGACGTAAATAACAGAGAAGGGGGGTGGTGGTAGATAAATGTAATACGGCCGATGCCTATACAGAAGAAAAAATAGTCTTAAATCAATGATGGATGTTCTCACGTATAAGCAAGAATATAATAATGTTCTTAAGAGATTTTTAATCTTGAATTGAGTGCAAGTAATACTTGCATCAATATCAATTCAATCAGATCAAGAATAAGAAGCTTTTAAGAACCACAAAAGAAAATATAGATTAGGGTCTTGGGATATGCAATTCTTGAGTAAATGAAAGTTAAATAATTTTTCTTTTTCTTCCTTCGCAACCAACAACTAGCGTCAGTTCTTATTGATCTACCTTTTCATTTATTCAAGTCTTCGAAGAAAATTACAATATTCTTGCTTATATGTGAGAATCTAACTATCGTTGATTTAAGACTAATTTTTTTCAACCAATCAGACATGAATGTCATACTACTTACGATGTATGGGCATGATTCTGTACATATTTTTCGGAGCTATGTATTTCGTAAGAATTAGCGGTCCTGCGCAGGAAAGAAATAGTCTTAAACCAATGACAGATATTCTCATATATAAGCAAGAATATTATATTATAATATTCTTAAAAGATGTTTAGTCTTGAATTGACTGCAAGTAATACTTGCATCAATACAAATTCAATCAAATCAAGACTAAAGAAATATTCTAAGAAGATTATAATATAATATTTTTACTTATACATGAGAATATCTATTCTTGATTTAAGACTAATTTTTCTCTGTGTAGTAATATATAGAAGTCTATGGACGACCCTCGCGACACGTTGTGACACGAGCGCGGGTTCCGAGTTTAGACCTCTTTTTCTCCGTCAACCCTTGTATTTCCAAATCGAGCCCGAACGCGGAAGAATCACCCGATCGATTTTGTACTTGTGTTTAACATGAGATAACGATACAGCGTAGTCCGTTGACTTTCCCTTTTTTTTCTTTTTTTTCTTTTTTAACGGTTACCTTCGCTAGACCTGAATGCATCCGCGAGGTGAGGAACGTCGTTACAGGGACATTCGGAGGAGTTAATCGTTCGTCGGGAAGCGGCTCGTCGCGGAGATTCGCGAAGCGTTCGGTGAGCGCGAAAGCGCAGCGAGAGTCCATTATTCGCTAGGCGCGCCTTAAATAGCGGCGCGTTCGCGCTAAATCGAGAACGCGAAGGAGCAATAACGAAAAAAATCAGTACTTCGACGCGGAAGACGGGAGAAAGAGGGGCGAGTAATTCCCGAGTATCGACGAAGATATATACTCGATGGATGTGAAAAAAGAGCGAGAGGGAGAGAAGGGAGGAAGCCGGTCTCGGTGCGAGCCTAGTACGGTCGTGTCGCGATTGGCTTCGCTATTATATCCCGTCGGGGCTATATTCTAGTTTGTCGTTCGTTAGGTTCGCCATTAAATGTTTACCGTTAACGTGAGCGCGTATCAAGTGAACCTTACGACTTATGGGCAACTCGCAGCAACCATTTGCTTGCGTTTTTTCAAAGTTCCGACTAAGGCTAAAACTTCAGACCAAGGTTGCGTTCGGAAACATCACATTGAGGATAGAATGACGTTTAATTGTCCAATCAGGACGAGAGGATACAAGATTCCTTTATCATGATTGGCCAATTAAATGCCACTTTATCCTCAGTGTGTATTCCCGAACGCGGCCTTAGTATCCGAAACGGACCGAGGGAAACCGAGAGAGCGGATGAATTACGGGCCGACTATTCTCTCTTCCTCGTGAGACTCGCACCGGCTGTTTTCGCGTTTCTCGCGGCTCCCGGGAAGATCGGAAAGAATGGACCGGCTACGCTCTTCGCCCCGAACTTTTCACAGTCCACGTGACGGCCACGCCGGCCGTGAGAGTGTTAATCGCGGCACTCCGTCGTATCCCGGAAAAGCAACCGCAATCTGTCGCTCCGCCGTGTCCCGGAAACCGATCGGAGAGAAAAGTACAAGAGAGAGAGGGTGAATGAGTGAGTGAGTGAGTGTGAGAGAGAGAGAGAGAGAGAGGGAGGGAGGAAGAGAGAGAGAGAGAGAGAGAGAGAGAAGAAGGAAGACAAAAACGTATTGGCCGGTCTCAGCGCGGAGAATCGTCGGCTGAGTAACACTAACACCGAGGTCCAGCGTGCATAACCGCCGAGACCGGTCGTCGCTACCACTGCCGATATAAATACCATTCGCCGCCAGGTAGTAGTGCGCCACGCTTTCTTTACAAGCTGGCACGAATCTTCGTAACGAACCTAGTCCCCTCGTGTCCCTCGATAGCCCCCCTCCTTTCCCGACGATCAATCGCCGAACATCCGATTATCATTTTGCGACAGCCTCTCTTTCCCCCCTCTCACCACCTCC